CGTCTCTCCTTCAAGAGTACAGTTCATTTTGCCATCAGAGAAGTACTTGGGCCCTACAAGAAAGAATACATCTCCATGTAGTGGCAAAATATACCCACACTGAATTGAAAGTTCTCAAACAAATATATCAGAATGATCATGAGGAGATTGTAACTTGATGAGGAATCCCAACTTGTTGCATGTGGAGTATCTGTACATTTAAATAGACCAAAGACTAAAACGACAGCCACATTGACGGAAGGCAAACGCATGACTGGTTTTCCTCCATCTCTTCTCTCTCGGAACAAGTCTTCCAAACCCCTTAGTCATGGCTCACAGAACCGGGCTGATTAAACTCCAGTGCCTGCAGTAATTACACACACACAAGACCTCAATTTGTGTTTATTAGTTCTGTGGCATTTCAAAACCACACATTATGGCAAATTGAAAATGGTGGCGCAGGCTGAGGGTTTGGATGGCAGCCATTTTGTTTTGGTCAGCGTTCCATAATGTTTTTGCACGTGTGGCCATTTCCTCTCTGCTAAACGTGGGTAAATGCATTTGTTTGGCATTTTATTGTACGTTATTTTATTTTTTTTAAATATAGCAGTCCTCTAGGCCTGCGAGTGAAAATTGACAACACATGTATGAGTGACAGGTATCATAGCCCAATGGGAGTCTTGTCTCAAGGGCAGACAGGAGAGCTTGTGACTGACCAATCAGAGGGCAGCAGGTCACAGCTACATCATTGAGTCTTCAGACTCTGTTCACTCTGCCAGGGAGAAGTGCTGAGCTCAAGCCACTTCAAAATTACAAGGTCAGAGTTCCAACCACACCCATGTCTGTTATAGACACCCCTTCTCTCCACAAACACACACTAACACACACACACACACACACACACACACACACACACACACACACACACACACACACAGAGGAAAAACAGCCTACAGATGATCTTCCACTCATTTCCAAAACACAGATGTTTCTAAACTTGACAGATTGGAGCAAATTATCCTTTTAACACATGTCTCTGTCAAGTGTGGGTTGGATGTTAACTGGGTGTACAGTTAAACCAAACAGAAACATATGTACTTAAATGAGCCGTGACTAACAGCTCAAGTTCTGCCACTTTACTACGAGGGCGAGAGAAGCCTTTTCAGGAGTAACTGAAAATTAGCTCCCGACAGTATTCTATCACTGAAAGGAGCCACTGCTGATAACAATAGTAACTGTTCATCTGCAAACACACAATTTAAACCAACTATGACATATGATTTATAAAAAAGGTCCCAAAAATAGCATCAGCATGTGAACGGTTTAGTCATTGTCTTATGAATGTCCGCGCATGCATTGTTTACTTTACATTTACAATTATAATTCCAGTTGAAAGTGACCTCATCTAACACACCGTGAACCTCAATCCAAAAACAAAATGTATCAAACCAATGTAGGACAACTACCCGCCCCATCTATTGCAATGACAACTTAAAGTGCAGCAGTCTAAGACACTTCTTTCAGGCGGTAATTATTAAATTACACATTGTATTCAACCCCCCAAAGAATTCTTGGAACAGACAACATTCCTTTTATGATAAGATGAAGGTTGGCAGTGCATGTGGCTGAGTGTAGCAGCACTGCAAATACTAAAACAGGAGCTTGACAGTTGGATGCAATTATGATAGAAATAACAAAGCAAGTTGACACATTTGCTTACGACTGAAATATTCTCTAAAGCTCAACTAAAAAACGAAATATTTGAAGAAACTGTGGATGTGTGACAAAAGCCATGTTGAGTTTCCCCATGGTGCCAATATTACAGAGAAATGATTAGGGGCCCAATGTGAAGGCTTCGTGTGCGACACTCGTGTTTACATCCCTATACAGCCAATCTACAATATTACTCTCTACTAACTTCAGAGAAGGAGCCAACAGGCGACAGCAGGAACAGCCGGGGGAAATATGTTGCAAAAATAAATTCAGCCTCATTACTCCAGCTAGTAGGTCTATTCATATTTCACCACTATGCCAAGTTAACACCAGGACAGAGCACTATATTGTGCATGCCAATTTGCCACAAAAAAGAGTTCAGCAGTGACAAATGGCAACAAATTACTGCACACAAGGAGATAGCTTTAGCTTAATTAAAAGAAGAAATGGCAATAACACAGAGCACCGACAAGTCAAGATGTAAAGTACATATTAGCACAAGCCTTGTTGGCGGATTGAAATAGCCACTTTTCGGTACATACGGCCCCCTACCTTACTGGAGTATGTGGAGCAGGATCTAGTTCAGCTTACTCTGCAATACATGAAAAATAGAAATAAACAACAAATAATTAAAAGAGCCCAGAGGTGTCTGCCAGAACTAACTAGCCTGTCCTCCATTCATTAGGCATGTGGTTAAATCTGCTGTAAAAGTCTGCCAGTGTGCTTGGTGGGTATAAGTTCAAAAGGATAAACAGGATACATCTAAATATCTGGCCTACGGAATGAAAGCAAACTTACTGTAAACTACTACTGTTTGTTGTTTATATCCAGGCTTGACTCGGCATGTTAATGTGAAAAGAAAGAAAGATATCCGATACAAAATAACACGGGATATCCAAGCTTGAAATTGAACAGCTCAAGCTCCTGAAATGAGATATCTATCAAGTGGAACATGTAACACCGTCCTTACCATCCGACATCAAACTGGATTGCTTTTGGTCTTTTGCCCCCAAAAAAACAGAAGCATTTAAGATGGCAGATTCAGCTGTCATTAACAATAAACATCAGGTGACAGTTTGTTGTATTGTATTCATAAAATAAAGACATATTTTAAAACGAAACCTGCCATTGCCTGTCATGACCCAGTCTATGGTTTATCTACTTAAATAATACATGATGAGAAGAAGAAAAACACTGTAAACATCTTGTGTTTCTGACTGATAGTTTAAATCAAGCTAAAACAGTTGGGCCAGCTCATCCTTTGAATGTTCCCCTTAGGTGCCATGCTGATTCCTGCTGTGCAGACGTGGCTCAGGTCATTCATGTCACCACAGCAACAGTCACACTGACGTGTCATTCGCTGAGCAGTGTGCTCAGCTCTGGATCGCCTAACCCTATATCCGAGTGTGTTTGTGCATGTGCTAACAAGGTCAGTAGTTCAAACAGTGTGCATCAACAAACATTTCTCCCCGCTGACCTTCCCTTCGTGGTTTCAGTCAAATTGAACAAATCAGCCCTGTTTTCATCACCTCGCTCTCACTCTATCTCTCAACCTCCCTTTAACTTACCCTTCAACCTCCCACAGGCACAGAAGCTTATATATGATGAAAAACGTGCATTGCTCATAATAAAATTATGACACCACTTTGTTTGATAGTTTTGTTTACGTAAAGAAGGGATGATGTAAGGCCACAAGGCACTCATGTACATTATATATGGGAAGGGGGAGGGGAGCCATTTCCTGTAAGTGCTAGCATCATTTTTTTGTATATATACTTTCCTCAGATCTTTTTTGTTGTTGTTGTTGAATTGTGTTTTTTACATCTTGCATATAAATCTTCAAAGCAAACTGCAAATTGAAATAATACTGCTGCTTGTTCATTTTTTGGCGTTACATGAAAGCGCAACTCTGATTTGCCCGTTTGTTCTTAAAACAGATTAGCAGAGCAGACGACAATTTTACAGACCTGGTTAAAAAAAAGTATGGCCCCGGGAAATATCAATTTACTGAACTGCAGTATATCTTTTTGTTAGATTGATCATAAAACAGCTACAGTCAATCATGGTCTGCTTATTCCATCCAGCCAGCAATCAATAGTTTTATTTGCAATAGGACTTATTGTGTTGGGTTTTAACATGTTCATTCATTCGTACAGGCTTTTTCTTTTATGCTATATTGCTTTTTCTGGATTGTCTTGACTCTTTCACACTAAATTCCAACCACTATGAGACAGCAAGCGTGGTCACACGTGATGTCAGGAAGCATTTCATGACAATTTAGTTACCTAAATCTTTCTTCCGACAGTAAATCGTCAGCCGAGCTGGAAGCCCTTCTGGTTGGTGCAGTCATTGATCCACACCATAAGTCAGTGCAAATACACTCAGTGAACTTACTGACCCAAACGTGAAAAATGACTGATTACGACAATTGTATCTGAAACAAGAGGTTTATCCTAACAGTATAGAGGTGCATTGTAAGGATAAGTGGGAAAAAATAGAAAGCCTCCCAGTGTAAAATAATTACTATGTTTCTTGTGGAAGACACAACATTTACCAAAAATCACGATCAGGGCCACTTAGAGGTACTTTGCCATTGTGTGTAATTCAAGTAAAATAAGAGCAAAATAACTCTTATTTGTGACCTTCCAGAGTTCCACCCCTTCTTCACCTGTGTCATGACCTCAAAGTAACCAGAGAGCGCATTCAGAAGTCACTTAGTGTGATCAATACGGGATTGTGTTGCTCTAAGAAAAGGAGCAATACAGTGTAAGAGCACCACAGACCATGAGCTGACAAAGCAAGCTATTACAGTGACTATTAGAAAATGGATTACACCGTCGCTCAAACTGAAAGATTGATCAGATCTGCTTCTTGCTTAACAGTTGAATTCTATGACCAATTTCTAATTTATCTATAAATGTGTTCCATTCAAATCTCACATGATTAGATCACCTGATGATAACTCGTAGGTCAGTAAGATTGCATTGTTTTCTGTTGACCACTAATCATCTTTTCCCTGTTCAGTCTAAATGCATGTAGAGACAACTGCGTGTGTTTGCTGCCATCTAGTGTACAGATGCAAACATGGCAATACTTTTTTCCCCCATGCATTGCCTCATCTTCATGAATAGTATTTGTCTTAGTATGGACACATGTACCTACACTATGTACACCATTGCACCTGCCAGTACTCGCTATGCCTTATATTCACAATGCATAAATATATACATTTTATTTCATCCGACCTGAGTAAAATATCTATTTTTTAACTCCTTATATTTTTTTAAAAGATGCTTTCAGACAAAAAATACATTTTCCACTTTTATTTTCCATTGCACAGTAATCTCTATCTACAGAAATTCTAAATTTGTGTGGCAGCAGATAAAGTCATTAACATCCATGTGAAAGTTGCATAAAACTGTACAAGAAAATTGGCTACAATGAGAAAAATACTGCAACCCACTGATAACTGTTGAATCCAGGACAGAAGATGGCATATGGCAGATAGACAGGACTCCCTCTTGTTGCTTGAGTGTTTGGATTGTATTGGGTTAGAATACTGCATACTGTAGTGTATGGAGAAGAAACAAATCACTCAAATATGTAAAAAATATATATATATACATTGACAAAAAGAGAAAAAACCTGAAACAAACAAATAACAGTTGGGTGGGAGGGAAAGACATTGAACAGGTTTTCGGGGATGACCTCTAGCTAAGACTAGTTTTTTTTTCCTGAAGTTGTTTCCCCCCCCCCCCCCTTCTTCACCTTGGGGGTTAAAGACAGAGCTACCTATCAACATCCACACAACAATGCTTACTAAACACGGAGAAGGCCATATCTGTCACTGTGGAACCAAGAGAGTCAGTGGAGGACTCACTGGAGGAAGAGAGGAAGGCAAAGACTGAAGTGAATGAGAGTCCAAGCATGTGTGCAAAGACCAAACATGCGGCAGTTAAATTAAACCAGAATTTAGAGGTCATCCTCTTATGCTCAGTATCCTATCGTTATCTTCTTTTTATCGTCATTGGTGGCTTTAGTTAGTGTAACGGACACTCAACTGGACACAGACTAGGCTGGTGAGACCAGGACATCAACATTGATTATTAAAGAACCAAAATCTTAAATCATATCACTTAATTTATACGAGCACGCCCTGACACACATACAAACACGCATTCGCAAACACACAGATGAATACCATAAATATTGTGTCCGAGCTTTAGTGGAACGGTTCAGATTTTTTTGTTTTATGGAAACAGCCTCATCAACCAGCAGTTAGGCCTCTTCAAACATTAAACATCAGTCCAGATGTTACACTTTATGACATATTGTGAAACAATAGTACTATAAATGGCTGAGTTCCATTGCAACTTGCTCCATTTCTTGAACCCTGAAAATGATAACATTCCTAAAGGGACCTGATCCTCGGTCTGCACTCCGTGGGTGAAGTAACACTGTATTACACATATTACAGTCTGGTGGAATGACAAGCCAGATGATAATGCAATGGAAAAGCTGAAGCAACTCTTTGGCGTCAGAAAAAATATGGCCTCTCTCCTCTTCTGTTGCTGAGGCAACCTCGACGTTTACTTTCCAGTTGGTCTTAGATTGTCAAACTATTTACTTATATACAAATAAAGGTTAAAAGCCTGGTAGACAGAGAGATACGACACATTTGCACGGAAATAGAAACGAGATAATGATGAAGGTGAAAGTTTCTGACACCAAACACAACCGTCTCTTGCACCTCAATAAATAAATATTAACAAAGAAGTAACACGGACCACTTTCTCATACAGACAACTGTCAGCAAAACCTGAAATATGTTTTACATTGATGCCTTTAAAGGATTACACATCTGTATTTTCATTATCCTGCATATATGCATACACATAAATAGTGGATACTCGTGTATATATGAAATCGCCGTAGTCATCCAGAATTTGGAAACTCCACCACAGCTGTTATGCTATCAGTGTATTTAACAGTGATCTAATCAGCGCTTTTACAGTCACACTCACAGACTAAGCCAAACTGTGGAAGCGTATGACATTAGAGGGTGAGGGAGGCGGTTCGCATCAGGCCAATAGATGAAATTCTCAGGTAAACAATACATGTGTAAGGTTCATACCTCCTTTTCAGAGTCAAGAAAGCTGATGTTGCCATGTCAAGTGAGTACTAAATGATATATGCCTTTTATATCCTTGCCCTCCTTTTTTAGATTCCAGCCCTTTTCATAAGGAGAAATTATTTGAGTTGTTAAGATATAAGCCACAAAATGTATTTTTTCAACAAATCAAATATCATCCACTTTCACAACAATAGAAAAATAAGAGATTTTCCAATAATACAGACGGAGCAAAAAACCCAACGAATAACAAATAGAGGAATGGCAAGATAATAGAAATTAACATACACGCACACACGCACACACACACACACACACACACACACACACACTCACACTGTTGGTAACGATATGAAAGTCTGTAAGATACAGAGGAGAGTCTAGAGGTTGAGCGAGATGACGAAATATCCAGTGTACATCAAAATAGGTTGCTTTTATCCCCCTGACTCTCTGCATAGAGGAGGCGTCACTGTCACAGCACTTCCTGTGGCTCTCCAACGCCACTTTTCTTCAGCCTTCACACCCTGCTCCTCCTTCTCCTCGATGGGTTATTCCTTTCTTTTGTACTTGTCACTCTGAAGTGGATACAGCGTTGCACATTTATTAGATTTATGTATATATAATGATGTATTTAGATTCTTTTTCCTTCTTTTTACATTTTAAGAATTTTTTGTAGTCCATTTCTTCTTCAGGTATTTGTCTTTTTTTTCAGCTATGTTCTTCGGTTTGAATATTGGCCCCGATGGGCTCGGAGTGGAGACGACAATAAAGGACATTTTGGCATGTGAGAATGAAGAATCTCAAGGTGCGTGGGCCAATTGGCTACCTCGGAGGACAGTCAAGCAGAGATAAACAAAGAGACAAAAACATAATAAAAGACACCATTCATTTGCTCCCTCTGAGGTTGTCCTTCTCCCCTGTCTACCCTTCAGTTCCACCAAGTCTTACCAAGACTGAGGTAAGAACAGTATTCAACATTGTGCTAGGGAAGAAAATCCCAAGTGTCCCAGTGAAGAAGGCTTGCAGGGATGGAGGAATGGACAGACAGATGGGTGGGGGGTCACGGTGAGTCAAAATGAGCCAATGGAAGGTGACAGTTGTGTCCACGGAGCTCTGCTCCTCCCCCATCACTGATCAGATCTGGTACCATTTTTTGTCTTTGCACTTCAGCATCATCTGGAAACAGAGGAAATGTAGGAGTGAGAACATGGTTCAAATATGAGAACATTCCCAACTTGTAAGTTATACGGTCCATGATCCTCATGATTAAATCAAGGGTCAAAGTCCCGAGCCACAGTACTGTGAACATTCAACAGACATATACTGCCCTCTAGTGGGAGAATAGAGTAAGTGAGACAGATTTCCAAAACAATTTGAGAAGGCAGATCACTCTGACATTTCTCACAAACGTTTGCTTTGATACACAAGTCCATAACTCTGTTTGCAAAAGACTGCACACAGCTATTGTAACCAGCTCTGATGGTCAAATTAGAACTGAAATTAAAACAGCTGAAACAACGCTTATACAAACTTTTATGAATACCTCCTACCCTTAGAAGGGTATTTCTGAGTACACTATTTATTTCAGCCAAGACTTTATTTTTCACTCTGTGAGGCACCGCACACACATATTTATGTACGAGCTGGAACAGCTATGGTGTCCTTTCTGTGGCGTCACATAGGGTTCACTGTTAACAGATCTTAGACTGTTTACATCATGGGCGTGTTTGGAAAAGGAGTCTGCGCTGGCCATCATGGCAGCTGTCCTCTCATCCAGCTCGCCCAGTTTCTGGCCTCTTTCATCCAGTGCTATTCGGGCGCGCGCCAGATCTCCAACGACACCAGACGCTGCTCCTTTCATGCCCTCAAGGCCACCTGGGCCTGGGATGTGCTGGGCCAGACTTCGGGATGCCTTTCCAGAGGATATCTCCCCGACTGAGTGAAGAAATGAAAGGAAATAAACAGCGGGAGACGTGTGAGGGAGAGGTTGAATCAACAAAGGACTGAACCACTGTATATCTGGGCATGTGTAGGTTTGGCATACATAGCTCCTCTCTGTCCAGTGACTGTGCTCCTCCCCCAAAGAGGCCTTTGAAGAACCCTCTGTTGGGTGCCTCTGGTGTCTCCACTGGTGTAAACAGTTCACCCAGCATCTCCTGTAACATCAACACACACACACACACACATCATCCTGCTACATACAGTTTGACTGTCTGTGTCTTACAGTGTTTTGTTATCCACTGCAATACGCTACAGACAGAGTCTAGTATGCAGTTTCTCAGGTAAAACATACACACCAATATACAGTTCTCAAATATATTTCCTTTATCTTATCCAGATCATTTAAATGATCATGTCAACTGACTTAAACATGCACTGCTTTCTATGCAGCACAACATGCAGTTTGTTTATGCTCCCAAGGCAATGGGATATAATCTGAAAAACTCCTGAACCATGACTCATTAAATCCATATGCATGCTGTCCTGCATACAGAATGCTAACTGACCTGTAGGTTTTCACAGGTGTCCTGGCTGTAAGTGAGCCTCTGGGCCTCAGTGGGGGAGCAGAGGTACATGGCCTGACCCAGGTTGGTGAAGCAGAACGTCCTTGCTATCCGCATGTCTGTCAAAGGCAGGTAGTTTACATCCATGAGCGGTCTCAGTCCCGGCACACTAGACAGGGGGACACAGAGACGATGTATATGATTTTAGATCTATTATAAGAATGTTATAACGCTGACAATAGATTATATTTTAGCCTTGGTCAGCACCTACACACAAGATTACTGTAGTTGATGTAAATATTTCAAGTTTTTCAACAGCACATTTCAATCTCCTGAAACATTGATGGCAATGTTTTTGCACGACACACACACACACACACACACACACACACACACACACACACACACACACACACACACACACACACGCAGACAGTTGGGCATCCTTCCTTTGTCAGACACCCATATGGATGGCTGTTCTATCTCCGTGTCTCTCCTCTATGGACAGGAAGATTAATGAGGATGAGCGACAGACTTAGACACCCCTCCACCCGTACGCTTCCATACACAACATGAAAATGAACCTGGTACGTCTACATGTGTATGTGCATGCCTGTATGGGAAGTTTCTAGCCTTAAAGTTTAAGTTTAAATTGAACGGTTAAATTTAGGAGGATTATGTTAGCGTTGGGGTCACGAGAGGATGGAGGATAGGACAGAGGTCTGAGGATGTGACCGAATGTTGGCTGTGGGTGTGTACGAGGACAAAAGTTTGAGTCTGACTTTGAAGGACAACTTGAGCAAAAAGAAAAGTTTCATTGAGGACATAATATGATGAGCATGTGTGCCTCAGTGGTGACAGCATTTATTTCTGCCATTTAAAAGTTAAGACAATCTTCAACCCCCATAATATTGTTAAACCACACTTGTAGAATATAGGGAATTAGGAATGGATAAAAAGAAAGCTACAACTAAGAGCAACAGTCTTTCAAGGATACTTCCTAAATTGAATCATATGAACATGATTCATTCAAACTGACTTTGACTGATACATTTTAATAATAACCAGCTATTTTTGACTGACGCGGACTGACATGTTTCTCACCTGAGGGTCATGATGTGGCCATTGGCGCAGAAACAGGCCAGACACACGCCTCGGCTCATCTGCACCACATCTGCCCGTAGGATGAAGGAGGTCTCTGTGATACTGTGTTTATAGATGCAGGTCTGGGAGGGGAGGGAAATGACTTTGGCCTGTTTCTCCGAACACACCACAGCGTACTGGCTCTCGTTGAGGTCCTGGGAGGTGGAAGGGGACACTGAGACGGGCCGGCGCTTACGGACCTTCTCTCTTTCTTCACCATCTGCGGTCACGTTGGGCTCAAACCAAGGCTCAAAGGCAGGGGGCAGCATGGAACCTGTAGAATCCAGGAAAGACATCCGCATGATGCTGCCCTTCAGCCGCACCAGCATGCCTGATGAATGGAAAGAAAGGGCTTGTTACTGAAATTTGAATTGAAATTACATTTTTAAAACCTTTCAACTCTGATTGTATAATAGACAATGTTGTGAACATCATTAGACAACTTGCACAAATCAATCTGGTTTTCATCTGCTATAGCAACATAACGGCTATGCATTACTCCCTTCTGGTATCCCGTTACCCACCTGTTGGTGAAACGATAACTGGCTGCAGTTGCCGTTGCTCCCCAGCAGGTGGCATTGTGAGAGCTAGAGCGAGCACCGTGCCCAGAGTGGTGCCCACGTACAGGCAGGGGGTCAAAGTGCTGTCCCCCTTCCGGGCAAAGGCCTCGCTAAAGTGGAAGGAGCTGATGGCCTCTCGTGCTTCCTTGTCGATACTGGTGACGCTGGAGGAGCGGGAGCGGCTGAAAGAATTGTCCCGGTGGTCTAATGGGTTGGCACCCCGCGGCGGGCATACAGACAGGAGGACAGTAAGGAGAAAACAGAGAGAGGTAAAGCACCCGCAAAGCAGTACAATCACAAGACAGCCAACACAGATGTGGATTCTGTACATGAAAAAATGAAGTCACAAAAAACATTTTGTCATAGTGTCCTAGTAAATGAAACACACTGGACCTTAACAGCATTTGACATTTTACAGCAAACTCGAGACATATTACTATTTTGTTTATGACTGAACTCTGTAAGATACTGAAGATACATAGAAAATCCAAGAATATCGGTTTGCATTCTTAACAGTGGGTACATATAAAAAAGCCTGGTCTAATTTAAGCAGCATCACCTGAAACCTTACTGATGGTGACTTTAGATTATACACACTTTATATAATATATTATACAATAAGACACAAATTCAGTGCAATTATGAGTTTGAACATTTTCGCAGGCCAACCAATATTTTCAAAATATTCCATCCCCAATCAATGGTTTTATTAGTATGAAAGAAGTGGCTGTTAGGCACTTTGGTTACATGTGTATAACATTAAAACTCTGAAACAAAACATACAGGTAAATGTCTTGGCACTTGCACATTTTAATTTGACAATGTTCCATCCAATGTTATTGGTAGAAGAATGTTGTACACCACAGCCTACACAATGCGACAGTATTGCTATTCGAGCAATTTGTAAGGCACCAATCAGACAGAGAAAGGAAAGACATGAAGAACAGAGAAGAGAAAGAGGAAGCTGCGAAAGTAGCAGAAAGCATCACGGTGAGATGGAGTGTGCATAGTTTAGCTTAGCACCACTGACCTCTAATAGAACCCCCACCAAGTTCAAAAAGTGGGCGTTTCACACTGAATTTAATTCAAACACTTAAATTTTGCTTAATCAATTTCAATTCTGGTCAGATCAGTGCTACTTTTGTCTCATGCAAACTTAAATAAAATACCCGCTCAGCTTGCCAATTCTGAGGCTAATAACCAGATAAAACTGGACTAATGGGATGTGTGAGTCCAGTTGAAGTGAGAAAGATATACTGCATTTCATAAAAATTGTTTGGCGACAAGTCAAGGCTTACCCAAGTCTGGCTTTAGCTCAGTAGGCAAGCTTAATTTCCGTGACATCTTTGCTGGAAAAAAGAGAACATCCCTCTTTACAAAGACACGTCTATGCTAACACACGATGCCATGCAAAGCTAGATAACTAGCACTGGGCTAGGATTGTGCACAAAGCTAAAATACACAAAAACGACAGAAGGCTGTGGAACAAAGTGCCAGGGGGATTGTTTCATTGACTAGAGGAGCCAATATGCTTTACACAGTAGAAGATACTGTGTAAGGACTCAAGAGACAACCCTGTGCATCACAGAGGCATGCTGTGAAAGACAAAACGAAGGAGGTGACACCCTGGTTGCACAGTGCCCTGCAAGAGAGGACTGATACAGTGAGATACATCAAAACTGCACAGCCATTCAGGACCGTCATGCCACGGGAGCATGCACCAAGAACAGGGAGGCAACAGAAAACAGAAAACACTGAGATGGAAGAAGACAGTGGAAAAAGATGGTTACTGAAGGCTAGCTAAACTTTGGTCACCTATATACATTTTATTTTACTTATTTTTGCTTCTTTCATTAATAACCGTGTGAGGCAGATTTACCCAAAACTATCTCAGCTAGTGCAACATAGAGTTGATTACTGTATGTGTGCATATCTTGCTAAATGTATTGGGTTTATTAGCTCTGGTGCTCAAATCGTTCCATCTTTTAAAAGAGTGAACTTATAAATAGAAACAACAATGAATGAAGGTCTTGGATGTTATTTCTGTAGGAGAAGAAGTAGGAGAAACTATATGATGAAAGGGGACATTCATCTTGCGTTAACTTAGATGTGATGTTCACTGATGGTAGTTGTAAAGAAATGGCTGGCTGCCAAGTTCTTTTTGTGTTTGAAAACTAACAGAAACCCACCTTGACAAAGGAAGAAATATAAAATAAAAACCCTGAAAAGTCTGTGACATCCTTAATATCCTTAAGCTCAAATTGAGTTGGGTTTAACTTGATTACATTTTGTTTGTCTCCATTTAGAATAAGTGCCAGAGGCATAATTTTAATGACTGACACTTCAACTATAATCCAGTTTTCAAAGCTCGCTGTTGTCCAGCTCTTGTCCATAATTTACGGACACAAATCTAAAGTGAACACGCGGCTTACTCTTACTTTAATTTAAGGGCCCTGCATATCCCCGCAGGTGTTTTCACTTAGTCTGGCTACATAGAAGTTGAGAGGAAATGTGGGAATTACATGAGGTCACCAAATTCCATCAACCAAAAATAATTAAAAAAGGGTTAAGGTCTCTGCCCTTACAGGTGCAACAAAGCAAACAGGAAGGAGAGGGAAAATGTGCTGTATATTCCGAGGCTTAGAATATTTATAAAAACATGTCTTGTGAAACTTTTAGCAGGGCTTTAACGGGGTTCACACCAATTAAATGAGGTCAGGCTAGTTTGAAGACTCTATGACGTTGGTTTGAGAAGGACTGGTCTGGGCAAGGGCAAAAACTCCAGTCTCTGAAGTTTCGGCCATTTGAGATACCTACTCATTGTCACCTGAATCAGAAAGAAGGAAGGATCCCGAATCCCGGCCTTCCACAGACAAAACACGTTACTTTTGAGCAGCTGATATGTCATTATCTATTTCATCAACACACACACACACACACACACACACACACACACACACACACACACACTCAAGGTACACAAAGACACAGTTGGACAAATGAGTTGCTCTCTGCTCTGTGGCGTCGTCATACTGTACTGTGGACAGAGCCAATCATGTAACTTGTAATGTAGACAGGGAACCTGTTGTAGGAGGTCAGGACAGATATCACACGCAGGCACATTTACATTATGACACTCGTGCTACGTACATGTAGCATGCAATGTGAGTCCTAAGGCAATGAAGCTCTATCGTGTGTTTATACAGACAGCTGAATTCCTGCATGCTTCCAAGTTGGCCTCTGCTCTATGAGCTTTCAGTTCTCGGTGTACAGTTTTTAACCATGTACTTGAGTACAGAAGCAAAATATATGAGCACCATGTCATTTTAGTCAAGAAAGAAAAAAAAAATTCTGTTGTTTATAATTCAATACAGTGAGAACCGAACGACAGTGGAACAGAAGCTAACCCAGAAGTGAAGCTGAACTTTGGTTCTCTGTTCTCTAATCTATTTCTTCCCACTGTGGAGACCATGACACGGAGGACAGAGACAGGTGGGGGAGGGGGACAAATCTGGACGTTGTCCTGCCTAAACAGCCTCTAATGAATATCTTTGGCCAACCTTACCTCCTCTACCACCTCCATTGTAGAATTGCTGTAGATTGCTGTTTGACATCAACACTTTTGGGGGTGTAAGGGGTAGAGTAGAGTAAATGTGCAGTTAGAAACACCCTTTGGCTTATTACGACACACAAGCTGTCGCTATTTACTCTGATGTTCAGGACACTGGTTTGACTCAAATACGGGTGGAACCGTACACAGATAGATCTAGCTATAGCCTTTTGGGTTTTAGGCAGAGCCCTCTGGAAGGGTTCCAGGTGGAACCAAAAAAGGTACTCCTTTAAAGACAAGTTGAAGAACCCGTTATGGTTCTAGTTAACACCGTTATTTCTTAGAGAGTAATAACTTGCTACTGATGTTTTTTATTGTGCTGCGTGTAAATCCTTCCAATATTAAATGCATAATCAAGAGCGTCTGTCCTATTACTGTAAGTGCTTTAGCATTGACAAATGTAAGCTGTGAATTTAAGTTGTTTTTAATGCAAATGAAAAACTAAACCAAGGATTTTCTTGTATTAAATGACACTCTCCTGGGCACTAATGGAGTCTTAATTCATCATTCTGCAACTTCTTTCAATGCAAAACAGGGTAATCTGCATGAAAAGAGATCTAAAATATGTTTCTTCCACTGGCAGAAACAAACAGAAAAAAAGCTTAACCCTAGACTAAATAACTGTTTTCCTTTGCAGAAAGACACTTCATCGCGCTCTCCGTCCTATGAATAATGCAGAGCAGACAGATGTATCAGAACACAGTCTGGTGGCACCGGAGGGGGGGGGGGGTTGGGACAGGCATCATACCTGCAGCAGGACTCCAGAATTTGAGATTTGTTTTCCGTTTGACCTTTTTAAAAAAAAAGCTCCTTATTTTCAGTGCCAAGTTACCCCTAATGAGATGGATATGGGCTGCTCTCTCTTCAAGCACCTTCAGCTGAAATACTAATGATGCAGATTAAGAAGGAGGCAAGTAAAAGAGCAACAGAGAGTCCTACTGTTGCAACACAGAGCAAGGTCCTTCTGTGGCTGTGGTGCATGATATACTAAGTGAAAATTGATTTTGTTTGTTCGCATTTGGTCTTATTCACTGATATGAAAACTGCTGAATATGACAATGTTCTGAACAGATCGGCACCCAGACACATGTTAAATGTTAAACTGAAAGAAGATCCCTGCTCAAAATCCAAAAAGTTAATTCACATCATCTGGCAACTGATATAACTGTGGTATATTTTTCCCAATTATGCAGTTACTAAATATGTAAAAATTGCCAAGGCCCTTCAGGTTGATCTTTTACTTTTTTAACTTATTCTCTAATTAATGTAAATTACTGGGTTTCTCGACCAGAATGTTAATTTTTGGTTTCATTCAGTGTAAAATTCTTAGCTGTCACACTGAATTAGCATCATGGAGATTGGATACGTTCACAGCCTATAGCCCAGGTTTTCAGGATACAATGTGAGATTAAAACAAATTTATTCCTGTCTATTGATCTCTGCAAAGTGGTAAAAAAAAGCATTCACAAATGTGAAAATACTCCCATAAACGTATGGCAATGAACTCAAAAAGAGCATTTCTAAAAACTGTGGTGGAATGAAATCGACAGCCAGACAATTTTATGGTTCAACAAAAAAGAAAACCTGTTAAGTTCCAGTTTGATGAGCAACAATTTCAATAAAAAAGTATTAAAAGTAGAGGCTCTTTAGAAACTTTAATCGTACACCATAACCAATGTTCCTCTTGCATTCAAATACATGGCATAATACGTATATATCTTTTTTTCTTTTCTGGTTCAGGGCTTGGCTTTTACGTCTAGATAACACAAAGCCTCTGCTATATTTCTCCCACTTTTTCTTTAATAAGACACTGAAGGACATGTTACCTGAAGTAGGGGACTTGCAGCGGTCCTCTGATGTGGCTGAGCCCTCGTTAATGTCGCACAGACCTGCAGCAGACATCATACAATTAAATTCATGCAAACTAAAGCAGGCCGAAAAGAGTTTAACACCACACTTTTTACTTCATAATACACTGCAGAGAGTACAAATAGATGATTCCCATGTCTAATGTTCTCTTCACTTGACAGCTAATCCGACCTACAGACTAGCCCTGTGTCAGTTCAGCTCATAATTCAAAAACAATAAAGATTTTGTGCATCTTTAATGTTTCTTCATCCAGTTGTAAGTCTAATTCCTTCATTTGTCGCGTGCATGTTTTTGTGTGTGTGTGTGACATTGTCCTGTGAGGCAGAAAGCCAAGCAGACAGCAGTCCCTGTTGGCATGGAAACACAGCTGGACGCCTAATTACTGCTCACACTTGCCAAGCTCTGACAGGTGCCAGCCCACTGCTCACCAGTCGGTGACACCAGATGCTCTGTGTGTATTTACATGTGCGCGTGCTTGTGCATATGTGAGCGTTTGAGTGAATGCATACATTGGTTTTGTTTGTGCCTGTATGCACATGTGTGCGTAAACAATCGACAGCATCACAAATGAATCCCTCAATGTCCACAGCTTTCTAATTCATCCATCAAACTTTTGCTTAAGCATGGGCAGTGCGTCGTCATGACACTGCGGCATCCTCTACGCAGCTGCACTGCCGTCATCTAACACTGGGTGGCAGTGTGTCCATACGGAAAGCATCTTAAATAGCTATCAGTGGTACCATGAGGCTGCAGTGTGGAAAAGGGATGGGCTGTGAGAGTGAGTGTGTGTGTGTGTGTGTGTGTGTGTGTGTGTGTGAATGAGAAGAGAGAGAGAGAAGATGGACAGAGAAAGAGTTACCAGCCTTGTGAACTGAGCCTAAATGGCATCGTTTTCAATGTGTTGTTCTATGACTTCATTCGTTCTCACATCAGTTCAAAGACGTTTGGACCTTTGGGGTTACTTGAAACTCATCATAATGTTCCCTGAAAGACTGATGACAACACTATCACACTTGATGTCGCTCTCTTTGAAATCGAGTCAGCAAGTCAGAAACCGTGGCAATATTCTGGATACTGATATCAATTTTGAAAAATCACATGACCAATATATCACGAGAACAACGTTTTATCACTTCGACAATAAATATATAAAAACTGTGAGCATTTATATTTCAACTGACTCTCCGAAAGTGGTTCTTGTATATAATTATCTCAAGCAGGTTAGACTGCCGTGGCGCTCTATTTGCAGGATTATGAAAAAACATCCGTAGGACGACTCCAGCTCATTCAAGAGTCGCTACACGTCTAATCTAATCTACATATTACCGAAATCACTTAATTCACTGGCTCCCGGAACAATAAAGAATCACCTTTAAAATCCTGCTAATAATCTATAAAGCACTTGCCTCCTCAGTTAATTTCTGATTTGCTCACTGACTATAACCCAATCTGGCCTCACAGATCATCAGTGTGTGTGTGTGTGTGTGTGTATGGCCACATTTGTCTCTAGTACAGTTGGTTTCATGTACGGCCATGTGATAGGGCAGAGAATTCTATTGCACATTTAAATGTGTAAAATAAAATTTTCATTACCATATAATTCTAACCCAGACCTTTACTGTAAATAAACCTTGAATTAGAAATTACGATTTTGCTTCTTAGTTTATATCACAAGTTATTTTGCACAATTTTAGCTTAATGGCAGGAATTTCAAAAACAAGAGGGGAAAAAATAAATAATTTTGTACAGCATTTCCAATTCGAAGCTAAACACTCTGAGCTAGTGGGGCTGAAAGAACAGATGAGCAGCGCCACCTAAAATAAATGGCTTTAGTTTCTGGGCATTAAACAACAGGCACTAATACAATAAGTGCAACGTTATTTCTTGTGGCTGCACTGTAATGGCAAGAAAAACAAACATCTACTGCTGAGAGTGGTCAGAAAAGTTGAGACTTTTTTTTTCTTACTCTTCTCCTTCTTATCCCTTTTCCTCATTACCTCCAGAGGGCTGTCGTGTCTTTCTTGGCGAGCGGGGCTGTCTCTGGTAGGGGTCATTGGAGCCGTAAAGCTCGACCGTCCCCAAGTTGAGCACCACCGTCTTCTGGACGTAGTCCACCACCGCCAGACCATTACTGTTGCCAAACACCACACTGGAGAGGGGGTGACAGAGTCAGTGGGGGAGGTGGAAGAAGTAGGAGGGGAGTCAGAGAAAGAAAGATGAAAAGGCAGAGAAAAGGAGAGTTGGGTTATAGCAACGTTGGTATGAGATTTGATTTAATCTTTAGAGCACAAAAACAGCTTGAATATCCAAAATTTTCCAGGCAGTCATAAGTCGGGTTGACAGGCCTGGTTGTTACGTTAGCCGTGAGCAGTTGCTGCTTGAACAGCAAAAAGTGGTCTTTATAGATTTTCGTTTAAGTTTTTCACTTCCGATGATACAGCCACGAGGATAAGTAGTGGGCACCGAGAGGACCTGGTTCTAGTCTTGACTGCAATGTTCCCGTTTGTATACTTACAGGCCGTAGGAGGAATTGAGCGCCAGACTTGTGATCTGCTGCGGAGGCTCTCCGCTCACCCACACTAACTGGACCACCAAATCTACCTGGTAACCAGCAGACTGCTTCAGAGGGGTGCTGCGCACTCTGGAGAGAGGAACATTGGGGGAAACCAGAAAGGGGCCAGAAAATGAAAAGAAAAGAGACTTTAAAAAGAGGGTTTTCATAAAGAGAATGACAAACGGTGCAGCTGCAGTTCTGAAGCCGTTGTGTGTCGAGTGTCTGGCATGAGTGGCTGCAATGGGATGAAGGGGAGGCTGTGGCTGAGAATGCTTCAGGCGCTGACTAAGTCTGTGCAAGAGTGCTTGAGGCAAAAAACAAGACTCTTGTGTGTATGATTGTGTATAAGAATGTGTGCAAGTGCTCCTGGTGCTTATGGGAGTTTATGTAATTGGCATGTGTGTATGCATGTGTGTGCTTCGTACTTGAGGCAGGGCATGTTGCCTCCGTCAGAGTTGTTGCTGCTGGTGGAGGGGTGTGAAGGTGGGCCGCTTGTCTGAGGGGAGGCACCGGGGGTGGGAAGCGCCGATGTCTGTTCTCCCCCCCCACAGTCTGGAGACTCTATGTCGTTCAGCTCGTACTGCATTCGCACCTCGAGTAACTGTGTAGGACACACACACAGAGGACCGAGAGGAGAAAAGACATAAGCATATTTATTACAAGAGGAGATAATAAAAGGTCCAAAACTCTTGTAAACAACTATTGTTCATGAATTCCCCCTGAGGATGGGAAAAGTCATTTGACCGTGAGTAACAACCACATATGTACATTCACACAGAGTCACTTTGATATTAGAGATTTGTGTGACACGCATGTATGTGCTTGTGTGTAGGCAGATTGAGGTCCTCCAATACTGAAATATTCCATTCCTTCTAAGTCCTCCTTCAGGCTACTTCTCTGCAACCTCCGCCTTCGTAGAGTCACACACACACACACACACACACACACACACACACACACACACACAC